TTTGTGTTCTCCATTCTTTAAGCACCGGCACCGTTTCAAAAGTACCGGTTTGGTACTGGTATCGGATAAAACCTAAACGATAGTCCGATCCTTCTCCTTAGTCTGTTTCCAGTTGTGGAAAAAAGGTTCACTCCTGTTTGTTTCAGCCCTGCCTCAGTAATCCTTCCATCTGTGTTATATTAATAAACTTTATTTTTTGGATCTTTTCACAAAGCACAGGAAGACGCATCACAGATGAAGATGTTTTTATTTTACAAGGCATTTTTCACAAAGTTTAAAAGAATGATTGGAAGTTTTTACATGGAAAAATCTTTTCTTTTTCATATCAGAGACCCAGCTGACGTCAGCCGGTGACCATCAAAAGGGCAGTGCCAGCAGTTTGCGGTAAAGACGACACTGAAAACAACAAAACAGCGCGTTACAAAATGAATCCAAGCGTCTCTGTGGCTTTCTTGTACTCTGCACAGCGGAATCCAAACAACAGGTAAACCGACCTTCAGCATTTCCCCTCTAATATCAGAGACGTGCTGGCCGCAGGTCACCGTGTGCTCTTTTGTAAGCGTTAATGCTCACAGTCCTCGAGGAGGAGGCAAGCTGTGAACAGTCTTCCTAAAAATCAGCACGGATAAAAGAAGAGAGGTCGTCGTGGGCTACAGACGGTTTCCCGGAGCCATGGCAACAGCAGCCTCGTACAATAGGTTGTTCGCAGCGAGAGGAGGAGAGATCGGGGATGAATGAAAGTGCGCCACGAGAGAGGGTAGTTAGGGCTGGAAATGAAGGCGATAGTAAGTCTGCATGAAAGGCAGGGCAGCCGCTGTGCTTACTGCTCGTTTTGATCCTCGTCCTCTGCCTCCAGAATACCTCTGACTCGACAACAGCGCTTTGAAACAGTGTGTAATATACCTACATAGCTGAAAGCCTCGGTCCTGGCAGAGTTAAGTGGCAGCTTTTGCCCACTGCAAGGGGGAAATTAACTCCTGACGCCTCTCCAGCCCTAAAACCCTCTTTGGGCAATTAAATCTCTACTTGTAGCAGCGTTATGATACCAAATGTCCAGCTTTTTAGTTGTTTATCCTTTTTCTGACAAGATTCGAGCCTAAACAGCAGTGCTCCGGCCCAGCAAGGGGAAGGCTGTTGGCATGCCACAGCTGGGCTCCAACCCCCTGAGTCCATGGACCCCCTGAAGCCCTTGCAACCCTCCTTGGAACCCTTGAATCCCTCCTTGGAACCCTTGAATCCCTCCTTGGAACCCTTGAATCCCTCCTTGGAACCCTTGAATCCCTCCTTGAAGTCCCTGAATCCCTCCTTGAAGTCCCTGTATTCCACCTCTAAGTCCGTCATTATGAGTCCTCGGGTCTCTGCGGGGCATGGTAGCCATCGCGGCTGTAGCCTGAAGGGATCGGGTTGCAGGTGGGGTGAGGTTATTGTGGTTCAGATCCATGTTGGACAGGAGGTGACCCAAAGAGTCCCAGCGCTGAGACGAAGGCAGGCGTATCAGGGAGGAGTAGCCTCGGTCGGGGAACACGGTAGCCGCAGGAGGCTTGCTGGTCTCGGATGTGAACACCGGGGCGCGATCGTGAGGTTCCCTTAAAGACGACGGCGCGGCTCGGAGAGGGGCGGGCTTCAGGTACGTTCCCCCCCGCGGGTCAGCCAAGACCTCGCAGTAAGGTGGAGGAGGATCATCCATCAGGACTGCCTCCTCGTAACAAGGCGGCTTCCCGAACACATCCGTGTCTGCAAGAACGAGAAAACGGGAGTTAGCATTACGGACCGATAAGCTATAAACTGCAGTTCCACTAATGGCCACTGGAGGCTGTTTCCAAAAATGAGTCGATCCTTATAGACTCCCACTTTAAAATGTCCAATCTCAGGCCAGAGCTGCTTAATTATATCCACAGCGTAGTTTTAATTATTTTTATTCAGCATCGTTATGGATTATTTAACATGATTCTTAATCAAAGAATTACTTAATCAAAGCTCTTCTTCAGTCTTTTAGTTTAGCTCCATTCCTCTTGGGTGGAGC